AGCTGTTACCTTTTGCTATAACCTGTCCTAAACAGTAGATGATACATGCACAACCACCTTTCCTTCCACTTTTACCTGAAACTCCTCCTGAGCTTCACCCTGTTGCCCCCCCCCCCCCCCCCCCCCCCCCCCCCCGATTCACGTGCCAGCACACGCAGAGCTGACATCACTCAGTCATCCAATAACACCTTCCTCCCCTGATCAAAAAGTCATGCCCACGAGTCACACATATTCCGTTTCTGTGTTAACACCAGTCTGGAGGCGTCCTCCCGGTGTCTGAGCCTGTAGGCTCTTGTTTTGTTCCAAACACAAATGTGCTTGAACAGTTTGAAAACATCCATGTGACTACTTCATGAAAGTAACAAAATATACAATGAATGGAAAATTACCAGAAATCTAAGTGAATGTCATAACACTGACATCACCATGTTCTTATAAATCATTGTAATAAAAATGTCTCAATAAAAATCTAAAGAATTACTAGAAATATTCACAAACCAAAGGCGGGCACTCTTCCATTTTATTTTTTTTATTTTTTATTTCTAATTTTAGGCCATATTCACTTATTTTGTCTCCTAAACAGATTTTCTTTCTGTTAATATCTGCAAGTCTAGCCTCCGGCTGCTTAAAAACAGAGGAAGCCATGCTTTCACTTTGGAATATTTAATTTCTTGTTAGAGCATAAAAATATATTTTTTGGCATTTGCAGATATCATATAATATGTTTTAGATTTCAGTACTCCAGGTAGACCAGTTCTGTAATCCTACCCTCCTCTTCCTCAGGCCAGTGCTTTGGATCTGTGGAAACATCATCTCTGCATGCTCATCCACACCCATCACAGAGGTGGGAACAACAGCACGTATATGGCACCTGCATGTCTGAACAACAATGTAATAAAGATCTGGTTGTGCAATCACCACTTTCAAATCAAAAACGTGTATTTGTGTATTTTACAGCATTTTAAAGCCACACTGCAACTTTTTCATACTTATGAGTCATGTTCTTGAGCCAGTATGTGCTAAAATGACCCTTTACAAGGTTAATGAAATGTCACTCAGACCCCCACCGCCCTCTATGAATACCACATTTGCAACTTCAGACTAGTGGGGCCACTCTGTTGGGAAAATTGAGCTGATATACCTGGCGCTGCAGTCTGCTTCCAGCACGTTTCCTGCATGAACACAGCTGATTTGTTTAATTTAGTGATACACCACTCCTGTGGAAATGAATGAAGGCTGTAAGATTACGGTGTTAAAAAGACAAATGCACAGCGAGGAGACGTTTCATTGTCGGTTTGACCCATCGACATGGTTTGACCACAGAGAATACATGACGGACACTAGGGGCTGCTAAAAGCAAGCAAAACTGCTAAGTGTGCCTTTAACTTTTACTAATTTATTTAATGATGTTTTTATTTGTTTATTTATATTGAATTTGACCAGATTAACCATCTATTTCAGTAATCTGGGCATCAGTGACTTTCCAAATGTGACTTCCCTTCTAAGCCTTCAAAGGCACTGTTTTAACCCAATTAAATCTTTTGTGAGTCGATGGTCAGGTGAGTTCAAAGAGGTTTTTTCTGGTGACCGGCCGGGTGGTCAGCACTCACTTATACCCATTGATTTCTACACAGCACATCTAGATAATTGTCTCTGTCTGAGAGCTCATTCAGCTGCTCTTTGTTCAGGGTCAGGCTGTCCTGTTTACTTCTTCAGCTTTTCACCCAAGTTGATGGTTTCCCGATGATGACCTCTGACTGACAACGCTCCCGCTGCACATGGCTGCTAAAAACAGCTCCGCGTTGCATTTACTGTTAGTTAATGACCGTGGGATTTCTGTTTCATGGATAGCAGATAGTTTTTGAATGCTCTTTAGTGTTTTAAAGGTGGGAGTTTAGACAGAACATGCATCCACCATGTGCGGTCTTGTCTCACGGAGGGACCGCTAGCTAATCAGATGACCACCAAACTGGGAGCCTGAGCTGCAAATGAATGGCATTGTGTGAGATCAGCCAGTAGTAGTAGGAGTCTCTAAGCAGACCAGAACTCCTCGTCCTCTTGAGGCAGAGCATGTTAAGAGTTGGAGCCAGAGACCTGCAGCGGCGTGCAACACTTTTTCCACTGCATCACTCAAACTCCTTCTCTCGGCTTTGAGTTTACTAACTGTAGCATTAGTTCTGGTCTGGCCGTCTCTTTGGGTTTCAAGGCTTTAAAAGCATCAGAAACAACTTTGTGATTAAATAGAGCAGAAGTCTCATGTCGACAGTTCTTTGTCTTGTTTCTCGGTTCTCCCTCAGAGTCATAATCTTCTAGCCTGGCAAGCCAGACTATATATTCGCTTTTTTTTTTTTTTTTTTTTTTTTGCAAAGCAAGAATTTGGTCTAGTTCACTAGGCTAATAAACTTCTGTTTTGCCAGCTGCAAAACGAAGACGTTAAACCTTTAAATGACCTATTTATCAGCAGAGCTTTACCTGGAGGTGATCAGAGATGAGGAAATTTCCTAAATTCCTCTTTTGGGTGAAAAAGTCACTTCTTTACCCTGTAGGCTGAGACTTTATCAGCTGTTACGATGGACAGGAAGCAGCACGTGAGGCTGGGGAAAAATGTCTCGGGCCTGCGGGCCATCAGCACCGGTTCCCCTCGGGGTTGTGTTCTCTCCCCTCTGCTCTTCTCCCTGAACACCAACAGCTGCATCTCCAACCACAAATCTGTCAAGCTTATCAAGTCTGCAGATGACGACACCGTCATTGAACTCATCTCTGACGGGGATGAGTCTGCCTATATGGAGGTCAAATGGCCGGTGTCCTGGTGCAGCCACAACAACCTGGTGCTAAACACCCAGAAGACAGAGGAGGCTGTTGTGGACTTCAGGAAGTACACAGCACCCCTTCCCCCCATAACCCTGTCTGACACTCCCATCACGATGGTGGACTCATGTCACTTCCTGGGTACCACCATCACCCAGGACCTCAAGTAGGAACCCACCATCACCTCCATCATAAAAAGGCCCAGCAGAGGATGAACTTCCTGAGGCAGCTGAAGAAATTCAACCTACCAGTACAGTTGATGAGGCAGTTCTACACCGCAGTCATCAAGTCCATCCTCACCCCTTCAATCAACATGTGGTATGGTGGAGCCGCCTTCAGGGATATGAAAAGTCTGCCGTGTGTTGTGTGCTCTGCTGAAAAGGTCACTGGCTGCTAACTCCCCTCCATACAGGACCTGGACACAGTCTCATCGACTCGCTCCCATCTGGCTGGAGACTCTGATCCATTCGGACTAGAACTTCTCGTTACAAAGACAGTTTCTTCCCCTCCGCTGTCAGACTCATGAACGACAATCGTAGAACTGCCCACTTTTCTTGCACCAAAAGTACCGCAGCTATTTCCTAATGTTGTGATTTTTGCACACATGGCAATAAAACCTTTCTGATTCTGTTATAACACCATCCTCTAGGGGTGCTATCCAGCAGGTTTTAATGGTGTCCCTGCTGCAACACACCTGATTCATTTACCTGTTCATCACCAACTGGTCAGGTTCGCTGGAGCAGAGTATCTTCTAAAACTTACTAGGAGGATCTCTAGAGGACCAGGATTGAGTACCACTGC